CTCCTTGGAGAGGGGTGGGTCTTGTGCATCAATGTAGTCCTGGTTCATGTAGTTATGTCCCACTTCCCCTGAGTACTATTCAGAGCCTAGCCCTGTGCCAGTTATGGAGAGGAGGAACTGAGATGGATGAGATGTGGTACCTGACCTCCAGGGACTGACAGGCTGGTGGTAAAGACAGAAGGTTAATAAACAAGTGCACTAGGAAATGGTCTCCCAAGGTACGAAACATGTTTTAGTCATGACTGTATTGGTTGTAAGTGACAGAAACCCAAATCAGATTAACTTATGCAGAAATAAGAGGGAGTTGTTTGACTCATATCACTCAGAAGAGTAGGGATAGGGTTAGCTTCAGGAATAGCTGGATCCAGTGGCTCAAATGATGTCTCTGGGACTTGATTCTGCACTCTGTCACTCAACTATGTAGATGAAGTTTGGTTTGTCTGGGGCTGCTGCAGTGTGAGATGTCAGAGGTGCCACATGCAGCCTTACTCCTGCTTTCCAAATCCTGGCCTGGTCTCCTCCAGGGCTCAAACCTGGGCTGTCACAAGAAACCAGAAACCAGACTCCCCTGGGCTGCCTCTCCAACCCCTAACCAAACACCTCCTTTCCTTGCCCCATACTCCTTGGGCTGATATTATAGGAGATGTTTTGATGCTCACTTTGTATGGGGAATCTCTGGGTTCTCTGGGAACTTAGATATAGGGATCCCAAAAGAAGCAGCAGTCCTGCCTGTCAGCATCCACCTGGTGGGCACAAGCACAGCCTCGAATGCCATTGTCACACTTACCAGCTGCGTGACCTCGCGTAACTGGGTTAACCTCTTTGAGCCTCAGTTTCCTCTGTCAAGAGAAGATAAAATTATCTCCTAGGTTTGTTTTGAAGATTAGACGAGATAGTGCATGTAAAGCACTTAACACAAAGACTTAACCCTCAAACATTAGCGGCTGTTATGATTCTGCTTCTTTTGTACCATCGGTGAAGGAAATTCTATTTGGGGGATTTTGACTTTAGAATGAAGATATTATCACTAACAGCTACTATATATTATATACTTACTATACAATAGGCACTTTACATTTATTCCTCACAGCAGTTCCTTGCAGCTGAGGAAACCAAGGCCCGAGGGGTTAAATCCTTTGCCAGGAACGCACAGCTCATCAGTGATGGAGCTGGCGACCCCGTCTTTCTGACTCCTAAGCTCTGACCACTCTCCGGAATGAGATGGGAAATAGAAAATAAAGGGGCCTTAAGTGATACTTTTAAGGATATATGACTGAAGTCAATGCTGGGGCGAGGGGGTAGGGAGCAGAGAAGAATGGGGCATGAGAGAAATACTGAAGGACTTACACTAAAAAAATCCAGCCTTTTTCTCTGAATGGTAGAATTATGAACATTTATTTATTTTTGGTGTTGTTCTGTATGGTGCAACTTTTCTATGTTTGAGTACTTACTACTTTGTAGTCAGAGGGAAGGGAAGGTGTAAAATTCTACCCTGAAGCAGGAAGCCCAATTTTAAGCTAATATAAACCATTATGAACAAGTTTTGCAACCAATAATCATGATTTGAGCAATTTTTGGCCAAACTGCTTCATTTTTGTAAACCGCGAATGAGGCTTCTCTATCTTGGGCCACCCCAGGCACCAGTGAGACCTTCCAGGCAGTATTCTGCCTAGTCCAGTCTGAGGCTTGAGGGGTGGCAGAAAGGACTGTGTACCCAGAGACCCGGGTTCTGCTCCTGCCGAGCCTGCTGACAGCCATTAGGCCAGTTACTCAGTCTCACTCAGTCTCCTTTTCTAGAGATGGGTATAATAAAATCCTACCCTCCCTACCTTGTTAGGTGGTGTAAAGAATTAATACTAACAGGTGTGAAAAATGACAGTCCCATCCCCTAGTGGAAGGAAATCCTGTAGGCAGCTGAGGGTCTAGAGAGTATTCCTAGGAGAGTGGCAAGGCCTGCTGATCCAGAACGAAGCATGAGAAACTCATTGCACTGGCTTCTTGGGAGAGTGTGTCATGGGGACCAGTAAATCCAGACTGCACCTCTCAGGTCACCCAGAGGTCACCCTCTGCGGGGAGTCTGGTCTCGGAGACTTTTTTAGTGATGGTTCTAGAGTTTACAATATGTATCTTAACTTATGCTTTACTTTAAAGTAATATTATGCTACTTCATGTATAATACAAGAATTTTTCAACAGTATTTTTCCATTTTACCCCTCCCATCCTTTGTGCTATTATATAAATTTTACTTCTGTGTAATAAATTTTCAGCCTCTTTCCTCTCTTTGCTTCAGTTTGGATGGTTTCGATATTGGTGTATTCAAGTTCACTAATCTTCTGTGTGTCTAAATCTGCTGTTAATCCCCTACAGTGAAATTTTTATCCCGGATATTGTATTTTCATCTTTAGATATTTCGTTTTGTTCTTTTTTATCTTCCATTTCTTTACTCATTATACTCATGTTTTCCTTTAATTTCTTGAAAATATTTTAAATAGGTGTTTTTGAGGTCTTATTTGTTAATCCCATCATCTCTGTCACTTCTGGGTCTGCTTCTGTTGACTGATTTTTCTCCTGGTTATGGGTCACACTTTCCTCCTCCTTTGCATATCCAGAATTTTTTTATTGGATGCTGGATATTATTAAGTGTCTGGGTTTTGTTGTCCTCATTTAAAGAGTGTTAGATTTTATTCTGTCATGCAGTTAAGTTACTTGTGGGTCAGTTTGGTTTTTCGAGGCCCATTTTTCAGTTTTGTCAGGGCAGGTCTAATGTAGCCTTTACTCTAGGGCTAGTTTAGCCCTACTACCATGGCATGAGCCTTCTGGGGTTTCTGCCAAATGCCCTAGGTGTCAGCTCTCCACTCTGGTTAGTCAGAACTTGAGCATCTCCCAGCCTTGGGCCAGCTCTGGGAGGTGTCCACCTTATAAGCTCCCTGACACTTGTTTCTTGAGCTCGTAGAGTCTCCCTCTATTCCGCCAAAGACTCAAGGAGACCCCTGTTCAGATATCTGGAGCTTTCCCTCTCTCTGCACTTTTCTCTCTAGTACTCTGCCCTTCAATTCCCAGTCCCCACAGCTTTCCTGAACTTTTATCTTTATCCCATCAGCTCAGTAAGACCCCTGTGCTCTGCTTGGGTCCTCCCTCCCTGCACTGAGGTCTGGTAGACGCCTCCAGGCAGAAAGCCAACGCAATCATAGGACTCACCACGCTTTGCTTCCTTTCTGTTCCAGATCATGGTCCTGTGCTGCCTGTTCTCCAGTGTCTGAAACCACTTGTTTAATGTATTTTGTCCAGTTTTCTGGCTGTTTACAGTGGAAACTAACAATTCCCTTTGAGATCCCCCTGGGGTTGTGCACCAATGCCTCAGACTGGGTGTACACTCAAGAAACTTGTACAAAAACGGAGTTAGGGCTAATAAAAGTCAGTGAAAAGGCAATAGGGTCATTTTGATCTGCTTCTTAGAGAAACTCAGGATAAAGACTCACAACCCAGCACCAAGTCACATTTTATAACAGGAATCATTAGTGTCCATCAGCTGACGATTGGATAAGTAAAACGTGGTATATCTGTACACGGAATCTAGTTTGGCAATAAAAAGAAAGGGAGTACTGATGCATGCTACAACATGGATGAACATGCCAAGTGAAAGAAACTAGTCACAAAAGACGACACCTCGTGTGATTGCCTTTATGTGAAATGTCCAGAATAGGCAAATTTATAAAAACAGAAGGCAGATCAGATGAGTGGTTGCTTACTGCTGGGGTAGGGGATGGGGAGGGACTGCTAATGGGTACAGGATTTCTTTTGGAGAGGACAGAAATGGTCTAAAATTAGCCTGTGGTGACCATTGCCCAACCTTGTGAATATACTAAGAAGTACTGAATCACACGCTTTCCATGGGTGGATTGTATGGTCTGTGAACTATATCTCAGTAAAACTGTTTATACAAAGAAAGAAAACTTGTTAGCAGTTTTCTCCTGTACTGAAGGATGTGAAGGGCTGGAGAGGGGCTGTGGAGGTGGAAATGGAGGTCTGAGCTACTATACAGGTGGATGTACATGTTACAGGTAGCATTGAGTCTTGGACTGAAAAACATGACCACAGGAGAGTTTGCACGGGACATGACTAATGTTGGATGTTAGTCTTGAAATCCATTTGTCCTTTCTTAATTACCTCAACCATGAGAGGATTCTTGCAAAGTCTTGGCTTTACCCCCTCTCTAGCTCTCTCTCCTCCCCAGACCCTTGTCGGCAGTGGGTGTTCACTGAGCGGCCGCCATGCAGGGAACAGGGACCTCAGGGCATGTCCAGCCTCAGCCCTGACCCCAGAGGAACCTGAGAACAGGAGGGCAGGGAGTGTCGCATGGCCTCTGAGAACTGCAGTGTCGCCTTCGTGTCCTCCATGTCATGTTCAGAGCCATCAGAATAAGGGTGACACAGTGGTCACATCCCAGCTGAGGATGGGGGAGTAGGCAACTCCTTCTGTTGGCTTTTCTCTTGTCAAAGAGGAAGGTTTTAAGTGAGTGCTCTTCCCTTCATTAAAAGCAGTGTAAGTTTTCTGTGAAAGAAAAAATGTATTCTTCGTGTGCAGGCTTCTCGCAGGGGTCTTCAGCAGTATACTCCTAAGTGGATATTTAAGTTAAAACCCTGAGCTTTGCTTAAAAATACTAATGGTGAACATTTATCGAGTGCTTAGTGTGTGTTCTAAGTGCTTTCAAGTATTGTCAACCCCTTGACTGATCTTTCTTTCACTGTACATAGGGAATGTAAAAAGACTGCATTTCTTTTTTCCACTGTTCTGTTTTTCAGATTAATTTTTAGTAATTTAGGTCGATTTTTCCTTCAGATTTTGTGGTTTTATCACAGCAGCTCAGTAATTCAGCATCCGAGCTGGGCCCGGCCCTCAGCCGAGAGGTCGGCTGGGGTGGGGCTTCACATGCCCGGCACGCTTGGTGCCAGGTGTGGACAGCGCACTCATCAGGCATGCTGTGTGTGGTTTTGCTCTAGGATCATCCACGAAGATGGCTTCTCTGGAGAAGACGTGAAACAGTACAAGCCCGTTGTCTACAGCAACACCATCCAGTCCCTGGCAGCCATCGTCCGGGCCATGGACACTTTGGGCATCGAATACGGTGACAAGGAGAGAAAGGTAGGCTGCTGCGCCCATGCACACGGGGAGGAGAGGGCCGTCTCTGGTACCCGCTGCGTCCTCTTTATAAGGCCAGGCTGCCGTGCAGGGACAGGACGAGACTGTGCTGTGTCACCCACCAGTGTACCAGTCGACCTGGCCAATACAGTTAAACAGGGGCTCTGGTGACAAGCAGACGGCCACAGCACAATCGCCAAGGAAGGAGACAACAGCCACAGAATTCCAGGGTTTATTTTGCAGATGAGAAAGGGTTGGTGACTGCCCTAAACAGGGACTCTCACAACATTGTCCAAGTACATGCCCTTGGGCAATTAACCTGAACAGAAAAAATATTTCTTAGACAAAACAAGCCCCACCTAGCCACCGTCTTCCCTCCTTAGGAGAGCTTTCCTTACCTTGTTGGGGGTGGGGCAGTCATTTGAATTCAGTCTCTTCCCTCCTTTGCCCCATGGGTTGTGTTTTCTGCCCCTCCGAGGTGAGTCTGAGGACCGAAGAGGCTCTCCTTCCTGTAGGAGGTCGACATCCTAGAACAGGGACAGTTTTTCAGTTGGGTTTCCAGGCATCTGATAAGTGGTGAATGGAATAAGTTGTAAAAGCCTCTTTTTTGCAAACATTTGCATTAACTGTAAGACTGAACCTTACACAGCTATACTGGCAAAGCCAAATAAAAGGTGGCGGGGAGGGAGGGAAAACAGCCTCAGGTAAGTCTATCTAAAAGTGACTCTTCATCTCCTGGTGGGACCCTGAATCCCAGCGATCCCCCTCCTGTGACCTGGAGTGTGAGGAGGGGAGCAGATGGAGGCCTCCGAGCGCCTGGGCCCCTCCTTGGAGGCTCTGGATGGAGAGCGTTAATCTCCGATTACTGCGTGGTTTGGTTATACATAGTGTATATATCCTGTCTTGGCTAAAAAATCACCTCCCTTACAGAGGAAAACTATCTTCGCCTTCTCTGGGTCTGATAAATCGTCTGCGACAGATAGCTTTAAATGTAAAATCCAATATTTTATGCACAACATCCTAATTCCATGCGACAGAGTCATCCCAGCTCAGGCATTGCCTCCTCCCGGAAGATGGGAACTGGGTGACTGAGAGTGTGTCCAAGACCAGCCTGGGGTGGGGAAGCCGGGCGCTGCCCCTCTGCAAGGCTGAGTCTGGAAGCTGGCTCTGCAGAGGAAGTACTTCTCCCCAGGGACTAGCTTTGGATTTGGTCATAGAGCCAGGGCCTGCGGAACCAGGGGCACTGAGTTCTTCAGTCTTGTTTCCACTAAGTATTCACTGAGAGTACAGTGTACCAGGCCTTGCTGGGGATACCGGAACGAGCACAGTAGGAGTGGAACTGGAGAAACCAGTCAGCAAAGAGCAACTCAGATCATCAGGAGTAGCCAAGACAGGTTACAAGTAGCCAGACAAGTTACAGGGCTTCATTCATTTTTAATGATAATGGCCACAGTGCTTATACAAATAGCTCTCTTGTATTGAACACCTACTAGCTGCCAGGCACTGTGCTAAGCACCTTACAAGTATTAGCTCACTTTACTCAACTCAGGCATTAAAGCCCAGAGCAGGAAATGCCTGGTATGATCTTCAGACATGGGACAGGCCACAGACCTTTGGTCTTTCTGTCTGCCTTTTGGCCAAAGAGAGAGCATGGAGCCTGAATCTCAGTTAACCAGACGACAGGCCCAGTGCAAAAGCTCACGTGTCCACAGCTCACACCTTACACAAACACCCACACAAATACACATGCATGCAGGCACACACAACCACAGCCTGCGAGATCTTCCAAGAGTATGTGTGTTCACTGCCACGCCCACCTCCCAACCAGCCTTCTTTACCCAAAACCTCCTGCCCGGATTATAACCCAGACAGTGTGACTTCAGAATGCTTTTCTCCTTCAGTTTTGGAAAACGTTTGTTGTTCCCGGGGGCATTTTTTCCCCCCATTTTATTATCCTGAATAGAGAGATGATTGCTTGGGAATTGCTAGGAAGATGATATATTAAGGACTATACTGTGGGACCCCTTGGCTTCTGTGGCTGTTCCTCTTCTGTGGGATTCCTGGTCGAGACAACCCTCAAGTAGGAGACCAGGAAAGGCTCCTCTGGGAAGGGAGACCAAGAGCAGAGTGGGGACTCCTTGGAGAGCCCACTGGACACAGAGAGGAGCTGGAGCCCAGTCCTCTTCCGGCAGGTGGCACCATGGCAGACGCCTGACTGGCCTTTGGGGCAGCACAGGCTTGTCAGGCACAGTCCTTCTGCCTGGCAAAGGCCTCCAGGCCCTGGGGCACCTCCTCCTGTGTTATTTCACCTTAGGCTAAAGTGAGCCAGGCAGCTGGAGAAGGTGTTTCCTGGGAGTGGGCTGCTCTGGATTTGCTGTTTGGGCAGCGGGGTGCAAGGATCCCCCGCCTGCCTGCATATCAGTTGTCAGGGGCTTGAGGAGGAAGGGGGCAGCCACTTCAGACTGGGTGGCCAGGGAAGGTTCCCCTGAACCTGGAAGGGATATTTGTGATGAAACTCGACTCTAAGGAGGAGCCAGCCCTGGGAGGAGGAGGAGGGACAGAGGTTCTAAGCAGACGCTACCAGGGCCCTGAGTGAGAAGTGAGCCTGGCAAGTTGGGAATGAGAAGCTCTGTTCAGCCTGAACTGCATCCGGGGGCAGAGGTGGGCCCTGGGGTGTTGGACGCCCTCCAGTCAGGTCTGCCTGCAGCTGGCCAGTCGTTAGTGGCCAGATGCCCTGACCCCAAGGCTGGGTCTCCAAACTCTTTACTCTCTCGGGTTCTCAGGGGCTGCCCACCTGGGGGATCTGCTGTTTGGATGTTGGGAGAACCGTCCCATGCAGAGCCGACCCAGATTAGTGTTTTGGTGTGTAAAGAAAAGACCTCCTTCTCTCTCTTGGCTTCCGCACGTCCGCCATCGTCCCCCCACCCATGATGGCATATCTGGAGGAAAACAGCCCCACACCCAGCACCTGCCTGGGCCAACCAGCTTTATACTCTCCATACAGAGAAGCATCTAGAAGCTTCCTTGCCATACCTCATTAGAACAACGTCCTTGACTTCTCCTGGCAGCTGGCTTGCCCCCCTGCCCTGGCCCCCCAGTGGAGGGAGGACTGACTGGTTTCTCCTGCAGCCTCTCTGGGGTGTGGACTCACCTGAGACCATATGACAGTGCATGAGCCCAAGCCTGAAAGAGCCTCTTTGTTGGGCAAACGGCAGGGATCTCCTTATACACCCCACGCCCCAGCACCCCCAGACCACAGACTGCTCCCCAAAGATACCACACACTCCCACACCTCCAGGCCTTGGCTCAGACCACACCTTCTGCCTCTTGTGCCTTCTCCCCTCTCTTCCCCCTGGAGCTCTTCCTGCTCAGCAAGGACCAGCTGAGCTCCCGTCTTTGCATGAAGACTTCCTCTCCTTCCCCTGACAGCCCAGCTCAGCTCAGCTCAGCTCAGCTCAGCTCAGCTCAGCTCAGCTCAGCGCTTTCTCTGTTGAGCATGTATCTCATGCAGTGTGTCCGCTCCTTCCTTAGAGCAGTGACCCTTGCGCTTCAGGGTGATCAAAACCCATTTGAGCAACTAATGAAAGCCATGAGCCTTCTCTCCAGAACCGTGCACTCACTCACATGTCCAGGAAATTTTTCATACCATTTCAGGGGGCTCTGGAACTCATAAAGCCCACCAGTGGAGCCTAGAATAAGAACTTCATTATGTCTAAGGTCTTTCTGCTCGAGGCCTGTGTCATTCATCTTTGGGTCACCTCCCCACCCCAACAACCAGCACAGTGCTCAGCACATAGTAGACCCACCCAAAAAAATCTCTTGAGTAGAAAGACATTTCTAACTTTCTCGGTACTCAGAGAAAAAAGGAAAAGAACCTGTAATGTTATCACTACTGAACAGATGTTGACTGAGTACCTACTATATGTTTAGTTTGTGCTAAGCTCTGGAGAAAGAGAAGAATGTGGGATGGGGCCTTGAAGGGGCTGATCATCTTCTTGGGAGGACAGGGCTCATAGGCTCATTCCGTGAAGTGGTCAGGGAAAGCTTCTTAGAGGAAGTGAGGCTGGAACTGTCCTTGAAGCAGAGGTAGGGCTTCACAGGCACAGATGTAGGTGAGGAAAGGGACTTGAAGCAGAGAAGAGCATGAATAAAGGCCATGGGTTGGTGGTGACCAGAGGAGATTTGACTGACGGAGGAGGCCAGTGGCCAGGACAGAGCATTAGGATATGGGAAGGTGTGGGAAAGTTAGAAGATACAGTTAGGTCCAGATTGGGTAGGCCTTGGAAAGTGTGCCAAGGGGTTTGGGTTTTATCCTGTTGGCAGTAGGCAGCCATTGATAAAGTTTGAGCTGGGGAAGGATGGGATGAAAGCGAGTTTTAGGAGATTATCATGATGGCATGTGCATGGTGGGCTAGTGGTGGGAGAGACTGAAGGTCAGGAGGCAGGTTGGGAGCTACAGTAAGGGTCTCGATGGGAGTTGGAAAGGAAGGGCAGCAAAGTGATGTGTGGTGATGAAAGAAAGGGACCTGGTAGTTACTTGGCTACTGGGGCAAAAGTGTAAGGATCAGGGGCTTCCCTGGTGGCGCAGTGGTTGAGAGTCCTCCTGCCAATGCAGGGGACGCGGGTTTGTACCCCGGTCCGGGGGGATCCCACATGCCGCGGGGTGGCTAGGCCATGGCCATGGCCAAGTGAGCCATGGCCGCTGAGCCTGCGCGTCCGGAGCCTGTGCTCCGCAACGGGAGAGGCCACAACAGTGAGAGGCCCGTGTACCGCAAAAAAAAAAAAAAAAGTGTAAGGATCAGGAAACTGGGACTCTAGTGTTACTGGCCTGGATGACTGGAAACAAGGTGACACCTCTGGCAGAAAGTCAGGAGACAGGCTGGGCTGGGCCAAATATGGTCTCAACCTCATGAGCTCCAGGTGGAATCAGCAAGTAGTAGATGGACTCAGAGAACTGCAGCTCCAAGAATTGAAGATGATGATAATAGTTGCTTTCAATTTTT